ATTTTTGTGTTTTAATGAATTTTTTAAATTTATTAAATAATTTCATTTTTAATCTATTTTTTGTTATTTAAATAGTATTTAAAATATGATCTAAATATTAAGCTTTTATTTTTAAAATTTAGTTGTTTAAAATATTATTTAGTTATTTAAAAAATTCCATTATTGAAAATTTTAAAATTTTGTTATTAATTCTGTAAAATATAAAATTATCATTAATTTGAACATTATGAAACCTATTATAATTATTTTTCTATTTTTAATAAAGTTTGTTAATTTATTAAATAATTTTGTTATTTTAAATATTTAAAATTTAGTTGTTAAACATTTTGTTATTTAAAGTATTTACTTTTTTAAATAATTAAGAATATTTAAAACAATTAAATTTTTTAATTTGTTTCATCATTTGAGTTTTATTTATTTTAAAGCTATTACATAATATTAAATATTTTGTTATATAGTTATTTATCTACTTTTAGTATTTTGTTATTTAAAATACTTAGTTATTGAAATATTTAAATAATATTTTAATGCTTATAAATTTTAATTATTTAAATAAAATTTAAATGGTTTTGTCAATTAAATTGTTAAAATACTATTTATTTATTAAATTGAATAATCCATAAATCTATAATTTTGTTATAATATTTAACTAATTATTAGATGTTTTAATCTAAATCTTATTCGGATAGATATATGATGGTGTGCAATCCGACACTCCTTGCTGTTGGACAGTTTGGACGCTGGACTAAGTAAGTAGCCTGGTCAAGCTACAGGAAGAGAGAGATCAGAGTGTCCGAGATGCTTTCTCAGTGCGGGCACTCCGATGCTTAAGTCAGCGATGAGTGTATTGAGAACTAAAGCACTACAAGAGCTAAGTCGTGCATACCTTATGAGGTTGGAAGTGAGACCTTTATATAGGCATTGTTTGGCATGAGCTTCACACATCGCGTCTGAGATCTCCGGGAAGATGTGGTTGATCGGTCCGAAGTCCTCGGAGGTAGCTTCACATGCAGATTAGGCTTTTGTGCCTTTCTTCGGAACATTCGGTATGGAAGTTGACTTTCGAATGACCCAGGAATGATGGGACGCCCGCGGAGGAGGTCGATGAGCACGTCTCACAGGTTGTCAACTGGACATCAGTCAGGTCGGCAAGTCCTCGAGGGAGGTCACTCCTCACGTTGAGGTTCATTGGACCAATAACAACGAGGTACCGCAGGTCGGCCTTGGACGAGGTGTTGCTAGTTGCCCTGCCAAGGTGCCTGAGTTGTATATGAGGTGCCCTGGACTGATTCCGGGGTGTGTCTCCTTGACTTGGCAAGATACGCGACTATCTTGTGGCGCTAAGGTGTCAAGCGGCGCAGACGGATGCCACATGTCACTAGGTTAACGGAGGGCCAAATCACCCCTCATTAGTTGTTCCCACACTCTAAACGTCAGTCGAGTCAGCCCACTTGGGTGACCTTCTCTAGATGTCGGTTGAGTCAGTTCGCTTGGGTTGGCCAACGACCAACCTGTTGGGCTATTATTGGCATGAAGACAACATTTCCAGCCTAGAAATAGGCATACACTTGAAATTGGGTGCGGCTTTTCAAAATTTGAAACAGGTGCGCTTTCAAAATTTGAATTATGGCGCACATGGCTTTTCAGAATTTGAAATAGGGTGGGCCCTTCAAAATTTCGAATGTGGGCTTCTTCCTAGACCATTGGATTGGGCAAATCTAGCTCATCAGTGGTCCACACTTCTATCTATAAATTGGGAGGACCCTCAAGGGCCCCATTTCACTATCCAATTTTGGATGTAAGCTAGGGCGAAGATTGGTGGAGCTTTGACGATCTCCGGCTCGGTGGTGGTAGTTTTTGACAACCTATCTTTTTCCTCTTCTCGTCAGTAAGTCTCTATTTCCCCTTAGTCATGTCTAGTGGGGCGGAGAGGGAGTGCTACCCAGATGCTCGACCGAGGGGGTAGTCATGCTGGATTAGGTCATTGCCTCGAGGCGCGAGTTCCACAAGATGAGGGCCAACATAGAGACCCTCCAATCTTAGCTAGAAGCAGCCCATCTCAATGTCGAGGAGGACCTGCACCAGTTCTGTTCCCTTAATGTGAGTATGAACCGCGAGCTAGAAGAAGCTAGGGGGACGATTGCCAATCTGAACGATGAGCTCCAAGAATTGCGGGCCAGGCAATTTGACGATATTCACCATGCCGAAGTTGTTGTTGAGCGCTTTCGCCGATATTTGGAGTTTGAACAAGAGAGAATTGAAGCAGCAATACCCTCTCTAAAAAGGGGCTTCAAGCTATGCCACCAGTTTCTACGACACCTGTACTTGGACCTTGACTTGGGCTCTATCTTGCTTAGGTCAGTTTTGGGCGATCTAACCCAAGAGGTCGAGCAAGAGGCAATTACTCCGTAGGAGGACAATGGTGATGAGTACGATGGTAAGGGTGGTGACAAGAATGACAATTAGCGGAGGATCTGTCTTTCCATATAGGGTTCAACTATGATATGGAGAAGATATGATATTCGAAAAACAACTGACCAATAAACATTTTCAAGACCGCTATATGTTGGGCCTACAAGCTCGATAGAATTTGAATTTGTTGTGGCGTATCTTCTATTTTTGCTAGTTGTAGAGAATTCTCCCATAAATGGAACTTCTGAAATCTTCCTTTCCTTGCCTTTTCCCCATTTTTTATTTATCAAGTCGGCTATGAAATGCCGACATCCTTTGAGATCAGATTGAGTTTGCCTTAGCTAGTGCTAGAAGCGAAGTTCGGCTTGACCAGGTTGGAACTACGCTCACCTCGCGAGCTGATAAGTCATTTTGAGATTGTGGGTGCATCTGAAGCATCTAGGAGCCGGGCATGAACTACGGTTGCATCTTTGCCATCGCGAGGGGACCCTCCCAGGTCTGCAATCATAGGTCAGTGCCGCACATGTGCTGCACCTACTCTTGGAACTACTGGTCATCCATTCCTATGAGAGCCATGGGGGCTCAACCTGAGGGGGCGGCTCTGCTGTCTGCGAGTCACCAACTCTAACGGGAACCATGAGAGGTTCGACCTGCGAGGCCGGCTCCATAATCAATTGGCTACCAACTCTCATGGGAGCCATGGAGGACTCGATTTGTAGTGCAGCCTTGCAGTTAGAGCTGGGAGACTATCTGGGCTAGATCTCTAAAGCTTGTCTGGGTTGGTTGTTTAGATTATGCCCCCCTTGTGATAACATCATCAATACATGTGTTGCTATTAGTGTTGTTGAAGGTGTTGTTGCTTGGGGATGCCACCAAAAATAGGATTAGAGAAAGGTGAGAACTTGGTTTTGTGTAGTGTTCCCACAAACGATGCCAATTGATGGTGTGCGATCTGACGTTCTCTGCTATTAGATAGCTTGGATGCCGGACTGAGTAGGTTGCCTAGTCGAATTGCAAGAAGAGAGAGATCAGAGTGTCTGGGATGCTTTCCTAGTGTGGGCAATCCGATGCTTAAGTTAGCGACAAGTGTATTGAGAGCTAGAAAGAGAGAGCTAGAGCACTATGAGAGCTAAATCGCGTATACCTTCTAAGGTTGAAAGTGAGACATTTCCATAGGCATTGTTTGGTGTGGGCTTCATGCACCATGTCTGAGATCTCCTAGATGATGTGGTTGACTGGTCCAAAGTCCTCGAAGATAGTTTCACATGCAAACTAGGCTTTTGTGCCTTCCTTCGGAACATTTGATATGGGAATTTCCTTCCAAAGGACCTAGGAATGATGGGACACCCGTGAAGGAGGTTGGCGAGCACATCTCGCAAGTCACCACCTAGACATTAGTCAAGTTAGAAAGTCCTCGAAGGAGGCTGCTCCTCATGTTGAGGTCCCTTGGACCAATATTGACAAGGTACCATAGGCTAACAAGTCCTCGAAGGAGGTTACTCTTCATGCCGAGGTCCCTTGGATCGGTAACAATGAGTACCATAGGTACCATAGGTTGGCCCTGGACGAGGTGCTGCTAGCTGCCTTGTTGAGGTGCCCGAGCTGTGTATGAGGTGCCCTGGACTGATTCCGGGTGCATCTCCTTGACTTGGCGAGATACACAACTATCCGTGTGGTGCTGAGTTGTCAAGTGACGAAGACAGATGATATGTGTCGCTAAGTCAGCAAAGGGCCAAATCACCTCTCATCAGTTTATATAATTTTGTTATAATATTTAAGGAAAATTCCTGATCAGTACCTTGTACTTTGGCTCAAGTGACAATTTAGTCCTAAACTTTAAAATGCGACAATTTAGTACCCAAACTTTCAAAATGTGACAATCCAGTACTTGCCGTTAACTAGTCCATTAATCAGCCGTTAAGCAACATTTGAAAAGTCAACAATACCCTAAGAATGCCATCTAATTCTCTTTATCAACCATCCAAACATTGACAATAAAATGAATAGTCCCAAATTCTAGATTCTTCTAAACAGTCATCAACTTTTTTGAATAAAAGAGGCTAGGATTTGAGACTGTTCAGTTTTTTGTCAAAGTTTGGATGGTTAATAAAGAGAATTAGATGGCATTCGAAGGGCATTTTTGACTTTTCAAATGTCACTTAATGATTGATTTAACGGAAGACACTGGATTGTCACATTTTGAAAGTTTGGGTATTGGATTGTCACATTTTGAAAATTTGGGTACTAGATTGTTGCATTTTAAAGTTCGGGGACCGAATTATCACTCAAGCCAAAGTACAGGATACTGATCGGGAATTTTCCTTATTAAACTAATTATTAAATACTTTAATTCAAATCTTAATTAGATAGATATAAATGAAAAATTATGGGAGAGGATAAATCTTAATTGTATAGATATAAATTGAGAAATTAAGGGAGAGGATAAATAAAAATTAGAGATAATTTAGGAGAAGATAATGGATGTGGTTTTTTAAGATACATTTTGTGAAAAGGATAAGATATACTTCCTTGTTTTACTAAAATTCAACTCAAATCAAACCTATTTCTGCCTTTCTATATATACTTGCCCCGTGCGTTCGGTTCTCATTGTCGAACGTTGTTGAATAATCTCTATTCACATGATGGCTAGGGTCTCTCTGTGTTTTGTCATTGTTGCAGCATTGGCTTTACTCAGTCTTTCTTCCGCAGAGAAGCCCGAGGTTGGGTTTTATGATCTTAAAGATGGAGAAATTTCTCTCAAGGTCACAAATTATGGTGCAACTATTCTCTCTGTTATTTTCCCTGACAAATATGGTTTGTTCCTCTCTCTGTCTCTCTTGCTTCATTGTCTTCTGTCCTCTAAAATCTAAATCACTTTGTTGGATTAAATTCTTTTGCAGGGGAAATGGCCGATGTTGCTCTTGGTTTTCAAAAAATTGGGGACTACACGGTGAGACTTGAGACTTGAATCCTTCCTTCTTAACCTCTCGCAATTTATGGAACCTGTACTTCCTTCATTAGGCCTACACGTTATTGACCACCAAAACTTCTGATCATGATTCCCATTAATTTGCTCCAGAATGATACAATTTATTTTGGTGGCCTGGTTGGGAGAGTAGCTAACAGGATTGCAGGTGCTCAATTTACTCTTAATGGCCACAAATACAAAGTGGTTGCTAATGAAGGAAATAACACGCTTCATGGTATTTCATTTAATCCTTATATTCTGCTTCATTCTTTTAGTATTTGTAGAAAAGAAGGGTCTAACTTTCAACTTTGTTTGGTCGAATCGATTTTCTTGTGTGAATATTAGGTGGACACAGAGGATTCAGTGACGTATTTTGGACAGTGAGGAAGTATAAGCCACACGGTTCGTCTCCTTACATCACACTGTCATATCGCAGCTTTGATGGCGAACAAGGTTAGTTTACTACTTGTTTACTGGTTTTAAGTTGCAATGGCGATGCCGCCTCACGTTTTTTCTTGGGTATCAAACAGGATTTCCAGGTGATCTGGATGTTTCCGTCACCTATAAAATCGTCGGATGGAACAAGTTGGCCGTGTTCATGAAAGCCAGGGCCTTAAACAAGGCCACACCGGTGAACCTCGCCCAGCACACCTACTGGAACCTTGCCGGCCACAACAGCGGCGATGTCCTAGGGCAGCACGTCCAAATCTTTGGATCCCACATCACCCCGGTTGACAAAGAGCTCATTCCGACCGGAAAAATTGCTCCGGTGAAGGGCACACCTTATGATTTCAGAGAAAAACATACGGTCGGGTGCAGGATCGACCAGCTACCCAATGGATATGACATTAACTACGTGCTCGACGGGAAGCCACACCACTTTTTGAAGAAGGCAGCGATGGTCCACGACCCCAAATCTGGCCGAATGCTGGAGCTGTGGACTAATGCACCCGGTTTGCAGTTCTACACGGGTAACATGTTAAAGGACGTGAAGGGCAAAGATGGAGCCATCTACAAGGTTCATTCTGGCATCTGTTTGGAGACACAGGGCTTCCCTGATTCTGTGAATCATCCAAACTTTCCTTCACAGATTGTCACTCCAGGGAAACTCTACAAGCATTACATGCTGTTCAAGTTTACAACTATGTAGAAGGGTAATTTAGTTATGAGGATTAGTTTTTGATACTTTTGAGGAGCGGTTTAGTTCTTTTTTCTTCTGTAATCTCATCGAATATTTAGATCTAGGAAGGTTCAGGGGCTCTTAGTTATCATTAGAACATATTTTAGACATCTTTTTGTAGTGATTTTTTTTTTGAAAGTTCAACTTTTCTTCAGTTATGTCTGGATTTTGACACAAACAAACCACTTTCCGAAGAAGGATTTAAAGGAGAAGGACTCTCAATAGATTTCTACAGATCGTTCACTTCTATTTATCCATGCTTCATTATCTCTAGCATAGAAAGAAACATCACAAGGCTGAAAAAGTAGCAACAAGTTCTCAGCAAGCAGAACAACCCAAACTTACATGACAGAAAAGAGCAGCAAATGCTACGGGTAAAGCTTGGTGATTATCCATGACAGTGTCATCATACTGCTATCAATCTTCAAATCTTAAAACCGTTTTCCTCAGTAATTTTGCTCAAAACAGAGCATGCTTCCGTTCAACCAAAAAGCCACTGAACTGAATTTAATCGCCAGAACTAAAAAAATAAAAAAGAAAAGAAACGAAAAGAAAAGAAAGAAGAGGTTGGGTTGAAAATTTTTAGTTAACTTAATGTAGAGATTTGATCCATTCAGTAGAAAAGATATGAACCCTAATACAGACAGGGTTTGCAATTGGGAGCTATTATATCAGTGGGCGAGATAGCACATTAGGATATCCGCATCATTACCATTTTGTTGATAGTAGACGGAAAGATAAAGCAATTATCATTTTTCCCTGAACAATCTTTTCTTTTTTCATTAGTCAAGCATTCATGATATATCTCCTTATCATACTTAGAGGCTCTATATGCTAGTATGTGAGCTAACACTATTAGCTTCTCTATATGCTAATAGGGAGGTTCCCTTAGAAAAACCTTGTTCTCACATCAACTAGTCTAATCTCCAAAGAAGAAACAATCTCCACTGAATTCACTTTTTTTTTTTTGAGAGAAAAGGTAAAGTAATTGATTCACTCCACTGAATTCACATCACTCCTTACAAAACAAGGCAATCCTCTCTACTTCCCTATCCTTCAAACTCAAATATCAACAGCCCACCAAGCAATTTGCCTTTGGTATTCAGGCCACACTGTCTACCAATTACACCACAACTACTGATTTAGATCAGACTAATTGTGGCATGGCTACCAATTACATGGCAAACATGGATCACAGTTGTTGATTCCACACTTCATGCATTATGAAATCTCAGGAATGGTCCATGCCCACGATGCTTAGAATTGCTCTAAAACAAACCAAGCGAAACAAGATGCCTGCCCCCCTCCCCCCGGGTGCAGTCATGGTCCCCCACACCTACAGAAACGAAAACAACGTTCTCTGCTCTTACTTTTAGTTGTCAATCGTTTAATCATTCACATTATCAATGGATCTTCATCTAACAAGAACCAGCTCAGTCTAATCTCATTTTTCTCCTGCAAACTCATAAGCTCTTTAACTACTGAAAGACATGTCTGAACATGCTCTTCTTGGGGACACCTGGATTCGAGAAGCCCAAGAGGCTTCCAGGTTGATAGAAAATATAGAGACCAGAGTCAAGGACAACAGCTGCGGACAGAGGCTCAGAGACAGTGCTCAAAGGAAGCTTTTAGAGCTGGGCCCCAAGCTTGACTGTTTGGCATCCCTCCTTCACAACCCACCTGCAAAAACCATTCTGTATTATGTTGTTTTTCCTTTTCTCCTCTTGTTTTTCTACTCTGTGTGGTTTACTTCTCAGCTAGGTTTGCTATAAAAGGATGGCTTTTATAATGCCATCTGATCTGTGTTTTTGAGTTTGATTGAATAGATGGTTTCTATAATATATAATGTAAACAATTTCTGTTTTACGGTTTGCTTGCTAAATTAGTTTGGTTCTTACCATGTTGGCAATCAGAGTGTAGTAAGGCTCTCCACTGATTGGACTTTTAGATGCCTTCTATTGCTTGAATTAACTTCAAATGAGCTGAAGTAGTGATCTCAATTTATTTCCTCTCATGGTTGCTGAAATGGCGACCTCAATTTATTTCCTCTCATGGTTTCTGAAATGGTGATCTCGATTTATTTCTTCTCATGGTTGCTGAAATGGTGATCTCAAGCATATGATTGTTTTCTTGTCATTGTTGTTCTGTAAGAAAGTTAATTCTCTCGATTTTTTTTTTCTTTTCCTTGCCTTGTTCTAGTCTTGTGTTAGTTGATCAGGACTTCCAATGTCCCATTAGATTGAGCTTGGAGTTTCCTGGTCATCTGACTCCATCCTTTAAATGTTTGGTTTCCTTTCTAGTTCGTTCTTGATCTTTGTTACAAACCCAAACTGGCTTTATTGAACAATTCATGAAATGCTAGAATAAAATATTTACAAAAATGTTGAGCTCAAGTCAACAGGTGAATGGGATAGAAGAAATGGATAAATTAGAAAGAGTAGCTTGAAATGCTTTCATAAACGCATATACAGGTTACAGACCAGACAGCATTTTTTTACACCCCAATTTGATAGAAAATGATATTGTACATGCTAATTTGAAGTTCATCTGCACCAATAAGTTCTATGCTTGTGTAACTTGACAAAATGAAAAATAAGCTAGGTGCATATTAGTTTTACACTGATTCTCGTTTTGGTCTTGTGGCAACCAACAGGAGTGATCAGGATTTGGATCTTTGTTGGAACATGTCATCAGAAATTCAACTACACACAAGAGCAATTGCTTTTAGTCTCTACACATTGCAATTCACGAACCAGTATTACTTGTAAGGATCATTCTTGTGCTACTGCCTTCATTGATGAACCATAACCAACAAGGTCATAACTATGAATTAGCAAAAATCATATATGCAGATTATGAGGTGTTAAAATATTTTATGGTTAAGTTTCTTGTACATGGTTTATTATTTGGCATTATATACTTAATTGGATTGTTCACTAGCTGATAACAAACTTCAAGTTTTAGTGAACTGACATATCCTTCAAATTTTAGTGAACATCCATTTTAATCATTTTAGTGAATTAATATTATTATTGGTTGAATACTTAAATTTTTTAAGTTTGTATTTTTGTATCTGAGATCTTTGTCCAGCCATATTCTTGTTGTGTCCAGGTAATAGAGTGAACAATAAAAGGGTAAGTAATTAACTCCACATCACCTCAAAAATTTCTATATAACAGTAAATTGGCAAGGCATCCAACTCAACCAAATATACATGATAATATCCTATTCCTACTATTGTTAAAACTCCACTATCCTTAACCCCAAATTCAACTCAAATAAATGCATGAACTGAGTTTAAATAATGCTTCATGTAAACCTCAAGTAACAAAGTAATAACTCATTTAGGTTGACAAGATACACTTTCTTGTATATATCATAAGCAATATGCAACAATTATTCACATCTAAATTAATTCTTTTAAATTCTACTGCTGCATCAAAACTAAATCACATGGTTAGTATCAACAATTTGTGGACTATTGCCAAAATACCATGTCTCTGAAATACCTGTGATGGCTCTGCTGTTCAGTACTAGTAGGAATAACTGGAATTTAATTATAGTAGGACTTGGATAAGAAAACCTTTTAGAGCAAATATAATTCTGAAAGCATTATAAAGCAGGGGAGAATTGCACGAAGGTTTTTGTCAATTTAGTTAAATTCAAGGTTCCCAACAAAACCACCTAAATCATTCTTTAGTATAAAATCTTTCCATGTAAATGGTGATTCCTGATAATGGACTCCATGGTTTTGAGCATTTAACCAAGACAACATCAATTCTAATCATGGAGTCCATTCAAATTTTGACATAGGATGCAAACTAGGCATGCTTATTTCAAGATAAGTCTTGGTCTATTATATCCTAGGAACAGAGAGGAGGTTTAGAGTCATTACTTGGAGATTCATTATGATGAGTTCGCAAAATTATTAATATGGAAAGATCTCAGAAAAGGATAAACTCTACAATTCTCTCCAAGTCCTATCTCTTTCTGTGTGAGTCTCTTTCACATTAGTTCTCTCATATCAATAAAAAATAGATCTCTTATTAGTGAATAGAAAAATCCAAAGATGACTAGAGTGAATAGAAAACTATTGTTTATCTAATATGACAATTAAGGCTGCATTTTCTATTAAAAACTCAATGTTCGTAGGGGCATTTTAATTGTAAAACGGAGATAAGTCCTTATTGTAAGGAATGCCAAATGCAGCCTAAGAAATAAAAAAAAAGAAAAGAAAAAAGAGATGACATTTGGTACCTGTCCTGCTGATAACTCTCCTGTATGTGAATGGATAAATATTTATATTATATGAAATTCATTTTATTTCTATTCTGTAACTTTACCTTATACTCTCAAAAAAAAAAAACATTATCTGATTATCATTATTTTTGTTGAGAGGATTGTCTTTCTATTAATTAATTGATCGATTTCAGTACATGCATCACTACTTTGTATGCAGTTCTGGAAGCTTGTCTGCTACCAATACTAAAGAAAACACCAAAACTATTAGCTGTTATGACCAAGGTAGGACTCTGACATCCACAGTTCTAAAATACATTTGGGAAATGGCAATTTTCTTTGTTAGTTGATGATGATTTTACATATATGTAAGGCAAAACTACAAAATGTATTCATCAAAAAAAAAAACTACAAAATGCTGCTAGTTTTCCTAGGAACTGCTAGGATGTAGCTGTCTTCTCAAATTTGTGAACACTCAAAACTTCAAACGAAAGTAACTTCTCACCAAGTTATTAATTAAGAATTAAAGTTAATAAAAAGTAGTCCTTATTTTATGAATTATTCTATTGTATAGCCACAAGAAAAAGATGTAGAACTTTATTTTGTTACTTAGGGGGCATTCTTTTTTCGGATTTTGAGAGGGGGGAAAGTTGGTCAATGGGATTTTGGTTCCCATTGACCAAGAATCCCATGTTCTTTTTTCAGATTTATGTGGGGACCAGGGAAAGTTTATTTTCCTGGATATCACTTACTTGGTAAGTGATACCCATCTCCTAGGTGGGTAAATAACTTTCCCACCTAGGGGGAAAGTTGCCTACACTTGAACGGGACAAAAATGACCTTTTTAATAATGGATTTTTATGGCTAAAATGGCCATTGCCTTATTTACATGAGAAATAAAAGAACATGGGTAAATGCACTTACCCGGGTAAGTGTTTCCCAGGAAAAACTTACCCGGGTAAGTGTTTCCCAGGAAAAACTTACCCAGGTAACTGCATTTACCCAGGT